CTTTGCATCTGAATAATCAATCCAGGGTGTCTTGAACTGTTCGCTATAATGCTTATATAACTCATTCGTAATTTCGTAGTGATCAGATAATATTTTATTGCTGCTCAGTAATCTACAAAATGGTAATGCGCATGCTTTATAAATACGAGACAAATAGGTCCAAAACATTTTATCCTTCTTATCGTGTGCCTGTTGAATTGATACTAAAAAATCTTGCCATTTAATCGCTTTATATTTCCCTATCTCATTTTTTATTTCTCTTGACATGACCCAAAGAAGTACTCTTATTTCTTCACATAAAATGCCTCTTTGGCGTAAATGATAATATTTATTTCTTATTTTTCTTACTTCCTTTAATTTCTCGATTATATGTTAAGGTAATGTTGGTCTGTATGTCTCTTTTTTCTTCCATTTCGTTAATCTGTTTTTAACAGCTGCTATGAAACGCACGTACTGGCTATACCATTCATCTCCTGTTGTTTTCTTCTGTTCTTCTATCCAGAATGTTTGGAGTAGAACTAAAATAGCCTCAAAGGCTCTCCAGTTTGTATGAGAGAAAGTACTTTTCATATCGAAAAAAATATTTTCACATATTAGAACAATAGGCTAGTGATCACTAGTGCCGTAGTGCAATGTTTCACATGAAATAGTTGTCATTTTTGAGAAGGATAAATCTATATTGCGCAATGAGCGCTTTCATGAATGTCATGTCGACGGAATATATTTGAGGTTATTCTCTTCAATCCAATCTTTAAGTACTAGTCCTCTCTTATCTGTCACAGGACTGTTCCATTCTCTCACTGTTGCATTAAAATCACCAGTGAGAATGGTACCTTCCACTATAAATGGAAGAATGTCGTCCAGATTACGTTTTTGACTATTTGGCCAATAAATTCCTATGATACGTACTGGCTCCGAGAGTCCTGTAATATCAATAACTACTGTATTTGGTATATCTGTCTCGACGTGTGATGCCTTTAGATGTTTTCCTACTGCTATACAAACACCACCACTGTGATTAGTACCCTTTTGATAAAATATGTTGAAATGTGGTAGTTTATTTGTGTTCCATAGCTCACCCATTTCAGTGAATATACAGATGGAAGCTTTCATTTTGTATACTAATTCAATAGCTTCAAGTGCTCGTTTACCCCACCCTTCGACATTATAGCATATCAGTTTTAGAGGTACATTGATGCTGCTATGTATAATTTTACTATTATTTTCCCGTTGATTTAGTANTTTTGCATCTGAATAATCAATCAAGGGTGTCTTGAACTGTTCGCTATAATGCTTATATAACTCATTCGTAATTTCGTCGTGATCAGATAGTATTTTATTGCTGCTCAGTAATCTATAAAATGGTAATGCGCATGCTTTATAAATACGAGACAAATAGGTCCAAAACATTTTATCCTTCTTATCGTGTGCATGTTGAATTGATACTAAAAAAATCTTGCCATTTAGTCGCTTTATATTTCCCTATCTCATTTTTTATTTCTCTTGACATGACCCGAAGACGTACTCTTATTTCTTCACATAAAATGCCTCTTTGGCGTAAATGATAATATTTATTTCTTATTTTTCTTACTTCCTTTAATTTCTCGATTATATGATAAGGTAATGTTGGTCTGTATTTCTCTTTTTTCTTCCATTTCGTTAATCTGTTTTTAACAGCTGCTATGAAACGCACGTACTGACAATACCATTCATCTCCTGTTGTTTTCTTCTGTTCTTCTATCCAGAATGTTTGGAGTAGAACTAAAATAGCATCAAAGGCTCTCCAGTTTGTATGAGAGAAAGTACTTTTCATATCAAAAAAAATATTTTCACATATTAGAAGAATAGGTCAGTGATCAGTAGTACCGTAGTGCAATGTTTCACATGAAATAGTTGTCATATTTGAGAAGGATAAATCTATATTGCGCAATGAGCGCTTTGATGAATGTGATGTCGACGGAATATATTTGAGGTTATTCTCTTCAATCCAATCTTTAAGTACTAGTCCTCTTTTATCTGTCACAGGGCTGTTTCATTCTCTCACTGTTGCATTAAAATCACCAGTGAGAATGGTATCTTCCATTATAAATGGAAGAATGTCGTCCAGATTACGTTTTTGACTATTTAGTCAATAAATTCCTATGATACATACTGGCTCCGAGAGTCCTGTAATAGCAATAACTACTGTATTTGGTATATCTGTCTCGATGTGTGATGCCTTTAGATGTTTTCCTACTGCTATACAAACACTACCACTGTGATTAGTACCCTTTTGATAAAATATGTTGAAATGTGGTAGTTTATTTGTGTTCCATAGCTCACCCACTTCAGTGAATATACAGATGGAAGTTTCCATTTTGTATACTAATTCAATAACTTCAAGTGCTCGTGTACTCCACCCTTCGACATTATAGCATATCAGTTTTAGAGGTACATTGATGCTGCTATGTATAATTTTACTATTATTTTCCCATTGATTTAGTACTGAATTCAAGGATAAATCG